GCGCCAACAGATCGCCGTTACACGACTGATGGTTCACATCGGCTTCGGTGGTGACACTGCCCTCGCGTTCGTTGTGTCGCCGATCACTACTGTTATCGAAAGTCTCACTATCGGTGTCGCTGTCGGAGCGCTCGTCCGACACCAGTATCTGCCGGTCGGACGACTTCTTCCGCTGATGGCTATGACTGGACCGACGGCTGGTATTACTGCCGCGCCGTTGGATACGGCAAATGCTGGCCACCACTCGGTTAGTGTTGGCGGTTTCGGCGGCCGACAGACACGAACCCCGACGACTACCCGGTGTGGACACCGCCAGAGAGTCGCCGCTCGCGGCGCCCGAAACAGATCCCGCAGAACTTCGGCGCCGTTGAAGAAATTGTGGCACAAAATGATTGCTCGGAACCGATAGTGAGGCCACGTTTCGCGTAGAGCCCGGAGGCGTGTAATTCTCCTATTGATGGAAATAGAAAATGTATACAAAATTAATATTTAATTTGTAATAATGTTTTGCAAAGAAGTGGAGGAATATATTTGACTGACAAATGTCTGATTGATTGAGCAAAGAGAGGCCGCCTGTATGTGCAGTGCGAGTGGACTCGTCTGAAAGGATCGCGAGGGCTCGAGAGTGGCGTTGGGCGAGCCCTGAGGTGTGGCCGCCGTATGGGTGATGATTGGCGGCAGGCCTAGGGTTATGCCGGCGCTGGCGGCCAATCCGCCGGTCCCGGCGTTGCTCTCCTTTCGCTCTCTCAGCGACTCTGACATCTCATACCCGACCGCAGAGTTCGATAAGAGTTGTATTTCTATTGTTAAAAATCATAATTTTTATTAATTGTTTTGCAATTCATGAGACAATTAAATGAGTGATATGTTAATCAACGTGGGGTTTGGTGGGGAAAAGGGGGCAGAGAATGCCTATTATTAGTTTTGAACATCTCTTTCGTATCGTTCGTATAGTTTATGTGACGGAAACTCACTATTTATAGCGAAAGTATTTTGTTTAAAATATTTTGTGTCAATTATTTATGTAGTACATCGTAAGGGAAAGGAATACCTGTTTTTCGTCACTTTTATGCATTGAGTTTATGGTATTTATTATTTATATGAAAAATACTTTTCGAGGGCTTAAAAACACAGCACACATACAAACAGAAAAGC